CCCCTCTGGTGTGCCTGGAGCCTGGAAGCCTCCTGTTACTTGTGCCTCCCTCCTGCCCAACCCCACAGACCCTGCCTGAGCTTAGGCAGCAGCCACAGCCCCTTAGCTGGTCCCCAGCTCCCGTCTTGTTCCTTCCACGCCCCTCCTCTGCTCAGGACCCTCTGCAGCTCCCCCTGCCTTAGAATCCAGTCCAAGCCTTTTACCTGGCACTCAAGGATCTGACTACCTGAACTTTTTCTACCTCTGTATCTTTGCACACATGGTTCCCCCTGCACAGAGGATCTTTCACCCCCACCTCAGGCAACTCCACTTGTCCAAGTCTGACTGCTCTCCAGTGCCACCCCAGGAAGCTTTCCCAGAACCCCAACTTTGCGCTACCCCCACTTTCAGCAGGCAGTGACCTCTGAACTTCACAGCACTGAGTACTGGAGCCTCTCTTGGGCATTTGGCATGTGCCAACCTGTAAGGACATATACCCTGAGCACTGCACGGTGCCCAGCTGTGGGCTGAACCCTGGAGAGTACAACACAAGCAAACCCAGCCCCGACATCAGTCTATCCAGGATGGACGCATCGAAAACACCCTGCCAATCTTCAGAGGATGCTCAGAGAGGTGAAGGGACATCCCCAAAGTCACACAGCTCACCAGTGTTGGGATCAGGATTCACACCCAAGCAGTCCATGGCCTGAATTTTTTAGTTAGTTAGTTAGTTAGTTAGTTTTGGTAGGGGGAGATAATTAGTTTTATTTATTTGTTTTAATGGTGGAACTGGGGATTGAACCCAGGACCTCCTGCATGCTAGGCAAGCACTTTACCACTGAGCTCTACCTTACTCCCCTGAACTTTTTTTTTTAACAGAGGTACTCAAGATTGAACCTAGGACCTCCTCTACCACTGAGCTGTTCCCCTCCCCCTACACCCTGCATTCTTAACCATTGTGTCTTTCACCTTCTCAGTTCTAAGTGTAACTCGAGTACTGTATTTCCTTATATTTTATTTGTTTACTTTCTTACAGGAGTAGTTCCTATTTTTTTTATAAAGGATGGAAAATACAAAGAAAAAAAAAGTCACCCACTTTCCCATTACCTAGGGCAAAGCACGGTCAACACTTTGTGAGTTTTTCTACACCTTTTTCTAAGCATATGTACCCGTTCCTTTACAGGAATGCCTTCATGCAATCAGTGGTTTTGTAATTTGTTTTCTTCCCCTTACAATGAACCAGAAACTTCTTTCTACATGATCAAACACTTGTCTATATTTTTTTAATTGTGAAATGCTCCATACGAACAGAAATGTGTATAAAACACTTGTATACACTTTAAAATAAGAAGAAGATGCCTCTGTGTCCACCCCTCAAGTTAATGAGAAGATGATCAGGGCCCTACCAGCCTCCTGGCACTCTCTCCTGGGATTCCTTCTGCCACTCCAGAGCTCACCTCTATCTTGAATTTTGGGTTAAGCATGCCCTCGACTTCCTTTAGAGTTTTATTAATACCCTTAGGTATGTGTCCCTGAGTGCTATATTGATTCACTCTGAACAGCAGAGGGACAGCACACAGCTGGCTAAAGAACGTGAGCATGGTGGCCAGACCAGAGGAAGACCCCTGGGAAGGTAAAACTGAACTGATTCTCTGGGGCACAGACTGGCCTCAGCCTCCCTGAGCTTTTACAGGAGTCCCTTTGGGTGCAGCCGGAGGCCAAGGCCAGGGGTGCAGTTCCCCTGTTGGCACGTCTGGCAGGACTGTGCCAAAGACATTCAACAGGAAATAGAGGCGTGGGCTGTCTTCCTGCTTCTGAGCTCACCGCATCTGTGTTCAGATCTCAGGAGAATGGGGTGGACACTTCTGGGAGGTAGAGCAACGTCCTCTGCTGAGGTCACATCAGCCTGTGATTAAGACCACCAGGTGTGGTGGAGATTCTAGGCCAGGCTCACTGGATATTCTGTTCTGAAACAGGCAGGACACTGGCAGTCGGCATCTTGGTGATGGCAGCCCTCAGTGCATCTCTGGTGTACCAGCTGCTCGAAGGCCCAGTGCACACGTCATCCTGGGGGTGGCCTTGACCCCTCCGCTGGCTGGTCCTCATTTCCTGGATGACAAATCTCTGCCTTTCTTAGTGTTTGTGATGGGCTCATCCTCCAGCATGCAGTCTTTCTCAAGAGGAGGTAGCTTTTCTCAACTGTTGCATTCTAATTCTGTGGCTGATTGATGCTTGACAGAGTAAGAGTTCAAAGTTAGAGATCTGTCCTTCCGCAACATGAAGACAGGCCATCTTCCAGCAACCATGGTGCTGCTGAGCAGGCTGAAGCCATTCTGTGTTCTGAGCCTTTGCATGCAATCTATTTTGTTCTTCGTGGAAGATTTTAAGATTTTTATCCCCAGAGTTCTGGAATTCCATGCTGATATTCCTCTATGTGAGTCTAATTTCATTCATTGTATCAGTGCTCAGCAGGTCCTTTCGTATGCGAAACTCATATCCTTTATTTTTCAGAAATTGAATTTTTGGGAGGGATGATTTCCTTCCCCTCATTTTCTCACTTCTCTTTCTGGATGCACATTACTCAGAATCCTGGACTTCTAACTTCCTTTTCTCTCCTTCTTCTCATGTTTTGCTCTTTTCTTTTTTTTTACCTTCTGTGAAGTTTCCTCGACCTTCTTTCCCTGGCCTTCTACTGATTTTTAAAAATTCTATCCTATTTTTTATTTCCAAGGGATTATTATTTTGTTTCTGAATGTTCTTTAAAAAAAAAAACCTATAACTTCCTGTTCATTTTTCACCAAAGCGATGTCTTCTCTTACCTCTCAACTATCAAGGATAGTTTACTTAAAACAATTATTTTCTTCTCTCATCATAGTCTCTGAGTTCTATGCATTGTTGTTATTTTATTTTTTTCTGTATGTAAGAGGCTTTTCTCAGATGCATGGGACTCTTTGGCTGGCTGCTCATGATTAGAAGAGAGAAGGAAAATAAGACTGTGGATGGTATTTGTGGCGATTTGTTTGGTAACTTCCTGAACTGTCAATATGTTTAGAATTTCAGAAAATTCTAAAGACAAAACTGATCAGATTCCTCAAGGCCCTCTAGTTGTTGACTGGAGGATAGGGGTCTTGTTCTGAGCTTCTGGGAGCTCAGTGCGGGGAGCACAGGAGGAGGTCTCTGCATTCAGCATTCAGTAGCCACCTGTTCCGGCAGAGTACCCACATCCACCAATGCCCCTGGTCTGCCCAGCACTTTCCAGAACTAAGAACTTGCCAGAATGAGGAAGGGGTGTCACCCAGTGGTTAGAGAGAGGAAAGAGATCTAAAGATCTAACCCTTCTTCAAAGACATCTTCAAAAAGTCCTCTTTATTTTAGCCTTTTTTAAACCCTTAGATGCAGAAACAGCTAGTGCTGTCAGTTACTAAGGTTTTGAGGATTCTGTTACATAAATAAAGGTTGGTTCTCCACTTTCCCCACTGTCAGGAGGAATTCAGCCGTCTGGAGTCTGCTAAATCAGGTAATACTGCTCATCTCGCTTTCCAGCTTCAAGAGATTCTGCTGCTAGGGCCCCCTTTTCTGTTCTCCCTGTCCTTGTGGTTTATGTCTTTAAGATTCTTTTTGTGGGTGTACAGGCTTCTGGAGGCAGTGTGTGCTCTGTTCATGCCTTAACCTGAAAATCGCCTCCATATATTTCATGGCCACAGCGTTGTGTAGATTTACCATCATTCATCTAACTAATTTCCTCTAGTTGTATATGCACCTTATTTCCACCTTTTTTATGTCAAAAGCAAGGCTGCCAAGGATGTCCTGACAGCTAGGTCTTTGCTCATCCGATTAGTTTCTCAGGACAAGCTCATTGAAGTAGATTTGCTTCTGTAAGTCTACCTAGATCTTTCTCATGCTAAGGGGTGTGTGTGTGGGGGGGTGTCCTGGGCTCCTTAAAGAGGCGGCAGGAAGTGAAACAGGAGCAGCGGGGGTGAGTCGGGGTGGGGGTGGGTCGGGGTCAGTTACAGGTGAAGTCAGAATTAGACTCTGACCCAGCCTTGCTCCACCACTGGGAAGCCAAATAACTCCAATTTGCAATCCTCCTTTTATCACTAACTACCTGTCACTCAATCTTTGAGGCCTGGTCTACTCATATGTAAATTGAGAGTAATAATAGCATTCATCATAGCGTTGCTGTGAGGAATTAAATATTTATCTGATATAAACAAGATTAAACTGTATAGCACAGGAAAATATATACAAGATCTTGTGGTAGCTCACAGCGAAAAAAAATGTGACAATGAATTTATGTTCATGTATAACTGAAAAATTGTGCTTTACACTGGGATTTGACACAACATTATAAAATAACTATAACTCAATAAAAAATGTTTTAAAAAATATTTATCGGATACTTATTATATGCCTGGCACCGTGTCTGGTTTATAGAAATCATTAAAGAGAGCACAGTGCTGGGAAAATCAAATTAAAGAAAGAACGTGGAAGCGTTTCACGCACTTTTCCCATGCGAGGTTGAATATTACATTGTGTTGAGTTGATTACTCAGTAAATATTTCTGAGGGCTCACTGTGGTCCGATGTCGTGTTTTATTCTTTCCTGCGGAGGTTTAAATAAGCGCTTGGGTCACTCTCGGCCCCCACCGCATAGCCAAGGGTCCTGGAGCCGGGGCGGAACCGGTAATTGCGGAACCTTTCTTCCCGCTTGAGGGTGCCCCGGCCCACCCGGCAGGAAGTGCGTCAGGGACCGCGCCGCGCCGCGCGGCCGCAGTCGGGCCTCCGTC